CGCATTCCTTCCGTAGCTTCAGATCCGCTGGTCAAACAGTAACCATCAATTCGAAGTTGGTCAAAGAATGCCTAGAGAATCTCAACAAATTAGGCAAAGATAATAAAGTCCTACTCTGGGTGCCTGCTCACCAAGGGATAGAAAGGCAATGAAAAAGCAAATGATCTAGCTAGAAATGGAGCGAACACTCCACTAACTGGACCAGAACCGTTCTGTTTACCAAACGGGAACCAACTGAAAACGGAAGGCTCCATCCGTAACTTAGAATGGGTGTCCTCCAACGGTATAAGACACTCGAAAAAGTTCCTCAGAACTTACGACCTAGAAAAATTAAAGGTTTTCCTTGATTTAAGTAAAAACAATCTTCGGATTGTCACGGGGTTTCTAACAGGAAACGGTCTCCTCAACGAACACCTCAGTAGGCGGAAACTGAGAAACAACGGCGAATGCAGATTTTGTGGGGAAAATGGGGAAACACCAGAACACCTTATCACTGAGTGCGCCGAGACGACGACTATTCGTGCCATGAATCTTGGTACGTCTGATGTCAAGGATGGAGAGCTGGCCTCTGTGGAGCCGTCTCAGATACTGGCTTTGGTTAAAGCCCTGAGACAGTATGATGAGTTAGAACTCGTTATAACTCAAGAAAGGGGAACACATAATAGATCTATAAGGTCGCGGTGATTAACTCCCCTCCTAAACATTCTACATTCTACAAAGCATAAAGCAGAGCAAGAACGATTAGAACAGCTCCTGCAAGAACGAAGATGACGAATTAACTACTGAACATGACGATGACAAAGAAGAAGGAGAAGTGAATATTATAGAAAGGCAAGGGCCCGAAATAAATTCTGATACAGAAAAATCAATGTGAGATTCTGAAGCACTGAATACAGTATTATAAAAGGATCGGCACATAATTGTGATAGGTGGAAAACAAACTCATTACTCTGGTGCACAGTGTCACAATTTCGTATGTTTTGAACAAACACAAATATTCTGTAATCACTTCTGTTCTACTGACTGATTGCGTGTTTTTGCGTGTTTTATGTTATATATTTTATGTTTATGTTTGCTATTTGTAATGAAGCCAGTCAATAAAGAGTTTTTTCTACAAACGTCAAAAAATGACAAGGTTCGCAATTGATAGCAATGTGCGAAGTGACACTTTTTTTCATTTTGCTACGTTACCATGAAACGGTGCGCGAAGTAATGCGCGAAATGCCTATATCGCACACTGCATGTAAATTATATGGGATTTTGGAATTTTAGTTTTTGGAAAATGAAGAACTAAATCATAACTAATTATTTATTTGGAAATATTCAAGAATAAACAAATAACCAATATCAAATTTAACACTAATGCATATTCTAGTTATTATTTACAATATTATACATTAATAGTACAACCAGTACATGAACCAATATTTAATCCCAAACTAGATAGTTCTGATTTTGCTTGAGACGTTGGGGTTTTGGGACTTGAGACACTATCCAATTTTAATGTAGAGGTACTTGATCCCGGTATTTGACACTTTAAAATTTTATTTTATATTTGAATTTTATTGTTGATAGAATCCTCGACGTATCCCTCGCAAACTGTCGATGATTTCCATCCTCCGTGGCGCTTCAAACTAAATATATCACACCCTCCATTAGCAAGAAGTGGCTGAAGTTCTCCAGAAACAATGCCCAGTGTGGGCCTCATAATCTGGCAGCTTCAAGTGTTTTGCTATCATGCTAGGCATCTTAACAAAAGAATTTATGCCGACCACTTGGTTAACACATCTTTTATTTTGATATTTTAAAAACAATCTGCGACTGGTAGCATTTCTTGGACGAAGAGCTGCGTATTTTCGGTAAATCTCAATATAATTCAAATTTGACACTGTAAAAACTCGGTCTATGTTTGTTTTTGTATCGGGTACTTTAACAATCAAAATTGTATCTTTATCTTCTATGTTATCGACCGTCATTTTAGTAAGGTCCTCACAGCGCGGCGGCAAGCACCAGAAATACCAGGTATTAAAACGACCTAAAAGGAAATCGATGACGATGTTCAGTAATAAAAAAACATACATTCCATGTTCACAGTTTTTTTATGAAGTAGGTAATAATATAATAATAATAATTTTTAGGGATATCCCGATTTTAAATTTTGTAGAAGAAATTTTGTTTCCAACTCGTGCGCGGACTACTTTGGTGATCTCGATTAATTGGCGATCTCGTTAAAAAATTCAAGTGTCGATCACCAAAGTAGCACTTCGCGCAATAGATAAAAAAATAACTATTAATTTGAATATCATATTATTTTATATCTTTACACTACTAGCAACGCTTAAAACCAGAGTCCGCGCGCGACCATTCATGGAAAAGATAAAGTTTAATACTGGGAACTTGGCAAATAATACAGAAATATTTCCGAAGCGACAAATCTGGATCGGTTTCGCAAACTAAATTCCAAAATGAGCGTAGCTGGGTGAATGGGCAGCATTCCAGCCCCTCTAAATTTTCACTCCGGCCGATAACTTTTCGAAAAGGATGGTTTGGGTCTGCCGGTGCAGCCGACTGGTGGCCAATAGCTTCAACTAAATTTTCAACTTCGTCGGCCGCAATTTTCAGACCGGGCAACAAAACGAATTTTGCGCTGAATATTTTTGGTTTTAATTGCTGGCCAGTGGCGGACAGTTACATTTCTGACCGAAAACCTAATTGTAAAATAAGGAAGTTATTATTTTAGATCATATACAGTATGTCCCCGGATTGTCTTTTCAAGAAGAAAAACTTTTTTATTGACATTTTTAGAAAAATGCATTCTTCATGAAAAATTTTGCTTGTTCTAAAATGGTTAATCTCGTTTATACTATCTCTTCATACTTTTCTAAATTTTCAAACCGTTTTAGGAGAAAATTAAGAGAAACATGAAAATATGGTTGATTTTTTTCAAAGTCATAAAAATTAAAAGGCGTTTCTATAGTAATATAACTTCATTTTCATTCTTTGATTGTTATTAATAAAATCTTAATTATTAATGTAATGTTTTTTTGTTGTTTTAAAATGTTAAAGAAGCACAACATTTATTTTTTCCATAGCAACTGTTAAAATTTCTTTATATCTATCACAAATAACAGATAAAATAGTACCGTATGATCGAATAAAAACGGCGTCAGCGATGGCTATGAAATAAAGATCGCTATCATTTTATATGTAAATTTATATGGGAAATGTGATCGATCGTCATTTCCAAGCCAACTGGACGCCGTTTTTATTCAATCATACGGTACTTAGAAAAAAACTAAGAAACGCTTACTCAGCATATAAAAGACCATACCCATAAGGGACATATAAGAGATCATACCATAAAAAGACCATACCAGGCAGGGACAGGGATAGGAGAATTTGGGTCGAAAACTAAATACTCCGAACCAATGGGCACCTACCCTAGTATCCTTCAGGCAGAAATTTACACTATCGAAAGATGCGTACAATTTATCTTAGATAGGAACTATCGAAAACAGGAAATTGCCATCCTATCCGATAGTCAAGCAGCACTTAATGCGATCGACTCAGTAACCATCAATTCAAAGTTGGTCAAAGAATGCCTAGAGAAGCTCAACAAATTAGGCAAAGAAAATAAAGTCCTCCTACTCTGAGTGCCCGCTCACCAAGGGATAGAAGACAATGAAAAAGCAAATGATCTAGCTAGGAAAGGAGCGAACACTCCACTGACTGGACGAGAACCGTTCTGTTTTCCAAACGGGAACCAACTGAAAGTGGAACTGAAGAATCTGAAAGACTCCATCCGTAACTTGGAATGGGTGTCCTCCAACGGTCTAAGACACTCGAAAAAGTTCTTTAGACCTTACGACCGAGAAAAATCAAAGGTTTTTCTTGATTTAAGTAAAAACAATCTTCGGATTATCACGGGGTTTCTAACAGGACACTGTCTCCCCAACGAACACTTAGTAGGCTGAAGCTGAGAAACAACGGCGAATTCAGGGGAATTATGTGGGGGAAAATGAGGAAACACCAGAACACCTTATCACTGAGTGCGCCGAGACGACGAACATTCGTGCCCTGAACTTTGGACGGCTGATGTCGAAGATGCAGAGCTGGCCTCTGTGGAGCCGTCTCAGATACTGGCTTTTGTTAAAGCCCTGAGACTGTATGATGAGCTATAACTCGTTAAAACTCAAGAAACGGGAACACACAATAGATCTATAAGGTTGCGGTGATTAACTCCCCCCCTAAACATTCTACATTCTATGGAAAAAATATTGTTTTATACACGACGATAAAATTGCAATATCGTCTCCCAAAATTAATTCACTTGCGATTTCATCGCTCGTGAATTAATCTTTTCGGTGGACGATAAAATACCATTTTATCGTCTTGTATAAAAAATTACTATTAGTTCAATGCTACGGAAAGGATAATGATAGTTATCGGAAAATATGATACTTTAACAACAGCAAAGACTGATATTAATCAAAATTAATAATAACCTATTAATAATCTATCAAAGAATGAAATCGAATTAATATAAACGCCAGTTGATTTATTTTTAAGACTTCTGTTTTATTTTCATGTTTTTCTTAATTTTCTCTAAAACGGCATGGAAATTTGAAAAAGTATATACGGGATTAAACCTCAGAGTAATAATTAAACCATTTTAGAACAAGCAAAAATTTTGATGAAGAATGCATTTTTCTCAAAATGTCAGTAATAAAAAAGTTTTTTCTCTTCTAAAGACAATCGGGGGATATACTGTATTACGTGGATATATCAACGCTATAAGACTAGCATAAAGAACTACTATCTATCATTACTACATATCTATCATTACTACATAGCTGTCATTACTACATATCTATCATTACTATATGCCATTTTCAAACCACAAACTAGCTTCACAACCAACGACAAGCTCTCATATCTCCTAGACGAAGTTCTTGTGCATAACAAAACCATAATTCTCAAGGGAAAATAAAACCAAAACAAGTTAAAAATATAGTTTATTTCAATTATAGCTAAGAAATAAATAGAATTGATTTAAAAAACACAAAAAACTAAGTTTTTTTCAGTTCGTCTTTTCCTTCTTCTTGGAAAACAGTCTTCGGCAACCGTATCTCAGGATTAGATAAACGAGGTAGGTATAGAGTAGAAGCAAGGCGCCCAAAAAGCCAATAACATCCAGCAGCAGATACTGATAGAGGGGCATGTCAACGGCAGCCGATCTCATATGTCGCGCCCCCCGGTGACGCGCGACGTGTTCCACCCAGAACGCCGCCGTGTCAAGGGGGGGAACTAATCGGTCTCGGAAACGGGCGGATAATTCTTTGGCATTTCTTGCTGTCCTGTTAAAATGAAAAGGAAATGGTATAGTTGGATTTGCAATTAAATTAGGATTTATTAGTTTCTACTTTGATAAAGATTAATACTAGTACCACAACTATAGGTTGACTGAAATAGTTGGCAATACTGTTTACTATTATTGGTTTGACGGAACTATGAACTATAAACGGACGCCGATGAGTACGAACTCGTCCTAAGATTTTTGAAAGTTGTCAAACTCTTGCTTGCTAAATAGGTTATAATTTTGTGTCAAATCATGTCAAATAGAAATGATAAATATTTTGCATTTCTGACTGTGTTATTACATGCGTTTCATGTTTTTTAAAATTAAGTGGAGGAAAACTCGAGGGACAAATTAAGGGTTGACCCAAATAATAGTTTACAGTTAATATTCGATGCCCAGAGACCGCCATGGGTCAGAGATACAGTTTGTTCAGAGACTACGGCCAGAGAGTTTATTTGAAACAAATAAAGTTTGTATACCATCTCGTATATGGTAACAAAAACTGGAGTATCTGTAAAATACCATCACACGATAGATAAATAATATATTTTAGTACTGCAGAGAGATAATGTCAAAAGATACTGGTTTTAAATAATTTTGCAACTTTTAAGGTATAAAATGCAGTAAGTGTTATTATTAATAAAATATTTTGTTTTATTTATGATGTATTTTATTTATTCCTTTGCAATTTTTTTATTTGTATATACAAGTTATATTGATAGATTTAATATAAATGCAGGAAGTTGCTTGAGCTTGAAAGTAAGAAATCTTTTTTATTTTTTTTTGGTATGTCGTGTTTTGTTTCAAATATTTTGATTATACCCTTTCTGGTTTTGTATTAAAACACACCATAATTTCTTTTTTTTTAATAAAATAACTCGATTCGATTTTTTCAGTTTTATACAATAAACGCAATATTATGAAGTAATCACTTGTCACTCAAATTTTAAATATATTAATTTTCTGTTGCATGCATTCCAATTGTACCAACTTATTTTTTTGTGAAATAAAATAAACTACTTTATTAATAAATTAAAATGACAGACACATCTATCACTGCCAAGGATTGTGTCGTTGGACAGACTATATCCAGGCTCGTTCGGCAAAGTAGATCATAAATGAAATAAAGTAATCTATGTTGTGTTAAGAATATTTTTATTCTGGCTTATTTATTTTATTAAATTAAATGAAGAATTCTGTACTCTGCATTACACATGTCACATCCTATATTTGCTACCTACTTACTCAGGACTTAGAGCTTGTTTAACAGCCTCTCTGATACTCTGGTAAGTGGCATCTTGTAACCGAAGTAAAACACCCGCTCCTTGAGCCTTCATAGCTTCGGCGTTTAAAGGCTGATCTCCGAATTGCGGCATTACTAATACTGGCACTCCACAATGAACCGCTTCTGTAGTTCCTAGCAATCCACCGTGAGATATGAACAGTTTTGTATTTGGATGGCCTATAACAAATTGGCATCTATGCATACATAGTGTTTTAAATATCAAAAATACTAAAAGTTTTAAGTTTTTAAGTTTTTTTAAGTGGTGATCCGTTGCTAATACTAGGTAGGTACATAAAACAATAAAAAAAATCAAAATTTAAGTGAGGATGTAGTCAATAATCACCACACAGGCTAATAAAACTACATTTTCAAATGTGTCAAGCTTTCGAGAATTTTATTCCCATCATCAGGACAGTTTGACTGAGCCAATTAGCAAAAACAACATCATCTGCACAAAAAGGCCTTAAAACTAGCATCATATGACATTGAAATAACAAGGACATTTCCTTTATAAAATATTAAAATACATATCCAACGACATTACTTTTCTATGAACAAAAAACAATTTTTTTAAAATCTGCTAAGACTAATTTCTACATTGTTGTTTCGAGCTCGATCAAACAATGACTCTGTGCTCGATGAAACAGTGACAGTAGTATTTAACAGTGACAGCTTAAGTAGAAAGCTTGACAAATTTGAAAAAGTAGTTTTATTGGCCTGTGTGGTGATTATTGAGTGCATCCTCACTTAAATTTTGAGTTTTTTCTTAACTTGGTCAGTCACGACTAAACCTGCTATTTTTTAAAACAATAAATATAAGAATAAGTGTCGATATAAATAATGGTAACAGTGTGGCTGCCTGGGTAATTAATTTTCAGATATGGCGGCTAACTGTTAATCCAGTTCGTGAAAATTGAAAGTTTATGTTGTATCCAAATGATCTTTGAATAAGCTTTATAGGCTTGGAGCAGTCTCTGAAGATGCTTGCTACCATCGGAGAATATCATAAAAAACTAGCATATACAAACACACGGGTTTCAATAGCGAGTATACGAAAAATTTATTATATAATTATTCTTGTGTTATTAAGTGTTAGGAAGTATAATTTGTGAAAATTCTAAAAATAAAAATAAAAAAGTAAATGTTTTGATATCTTCAGCAATTTTTGATAGCCCTGTATAATTTTAAGGAAGCAATACCATTTTTCAGTAAAGTTTATTTCTCTATCTTTTAAACTCAGCATAAGAATTAATTCTGAAAAGTAATGTACAGGGCGTTAACAATCTATTCTATTGTAGCATGCAAATTTAAATATCTTTAAATATCTCAAAAACCAAAGATTTTAAACATATTTAACCCTAATAATAAATGCCTTTTTTTTGGCCCAAGAATCCAAAAGTGACATAATTTTATATATATATAGGGTAAATACCGGGTGTTCCATAAGAAAAAATATAACTTTGTTATGGATCTTAGTTCTGAAACACCCTGTATATTTCAAAACAATTTAAATTGTGCACATTGCCTCCCCACATATACCCATAAAATATTTTGTTTCTACATCTTTTCGTTTTCGTATAATTAACCGAGGCGAATGAGGTGCGCCACTCTGTATACAGGGTGGTCCGAATTGTATTCCGGAAACTTCGGCAGCATATTTTGCAGATAAAAATAAATAAAAAAGTTCGTATAAATGTATGTTCTAAAATGCTTAGTTTCGGAGATACAGGGTGTAGAAGTTTGGTTTGGTTTGGTTTCTGGTTTTTATTTCGATTTTTTCCAGATCATTTCTGAAGTAACGTCAATATTTGGATAAAAATTGGTGATTGGGAGTTTTTTGACATGAGAAATTTGATTTTGATGTCAATATGGCTCCTTTTTGTAGGGGGCGCCACCTACATATGTTTTAACTGTTTTGAAGAGTAATAAGTTTTCGTCCGTACCTGTATAAAACTACTGAGTGAAAAAATATTAATTTCCGTGATTTTTTACGTAAAAAATGTCTCTTGGTAAAAATCGCTACGAGCAACCATTCTCAAGATATTTAGAATGGAAATAGTCAATTCATGTCATTATTGACAAAAAAGATAAACACGTTGAGTAGATAGTTCTTTGAGTGACATAATAAATTTCGGATTTTTTTTTAAATTGATCATAAATTCTTCTGCGAAAAAATGATGATAAAACAGTTTCTGTTAAACTTTTGGCACAAAAACATTTCAAATTTATTATTTCAGTCTAATAACTATTTAGTCAACATATTTAATTTATGTCAATCATGACAGGTTTTGACAATTTCGATTCGAAATATCTCGAGAACCATTACTCGTAGCAATTTTTACCAAGAGACCTTTTTTACGTAAAAAATGTCGTAAATGTATATTTTTTAACTAAGAAGTTTTATACAGGTACGGACGAAAAATTATTACTCTTCAAACCAGTTAAAAGATATGTAGGTGGCGCCCTCTACAAGTGGGAGTCATATTGACACCAAAATCAAATTTCTCATGTCAAAAAACTCCCAAGCACCAATTTTCACCTAAATATGGAGGTTACTTCAGAAATTATTTGGAAAAAATCGAAATAAAAGTGAAACTTCTACACCCTGTATCTCCGAAACCAAGCATTTTAGGACATACATTTATACGAACTTTTTTATTTATTTTTATCTGCAGAATATGTTGCCGAAGTTTCCGGAATACAGTTTGGACCACCCTGTATAGAGGAAAACTGTCCGATAAAGTCATTTTGATTCTAAAAGTCCGTAGTAGTTCTATCTAAAGGAACATTGGGACAAAAACAAAAAATATTTCCCACTTCAACAATATACAATATATAAAAAGTTTTCTTATGTTAGAAATAAAATATTTCCAATAATACGATATTTCTTTAGATAATTTCTATTAATTTCCAATTACACATTTAGCAATAATGTTTATTTGTTTTTTTTTTGTTTAAAATATTGTAATTCCATTAAAGGTATGCAGGTATTTTACTATATAAATGGGTATGAACAATCTCATACACTTTCAATTTTTTAATGCTCAAAACAGTGAACAGTAATTGATTTAATTAAAATCTTTTAATTGTAGTGTATGTATAGAGGATGTCCACTAAACAACAAAACAGATTAATTGTTTTGCAGACTGCCAATGCGTGGAACTTTCGAAATACCACTTTATGATTAAATTTTTAATATGTTGTATATTTTATTGAACAATCACTAAATCAAATAATTTTAAAAACAATTTTTACAGAGATTTTTACACTAAAATTTGGAGTAGTATATGTAATGTAGATACACACAACCAAAGTTATATGGAATCACTCTTTATTTCTGACTAAATTTCTTGCAAGGATAAAAATTGGTATACAACTTTAAGATAAGACTTTTTGTTGTAAATAAACATGATTATAAAGAATAAACGACTGCTGCGATTTATTCTCTTATGAATTTTGTGTTCAGTAGTAAAATCCCGACTGTTAGGTAATTCTAATTCGGTCCAAAAAAAATTAAAAAAATGCCTTATTTTGGATCAACAGATGTATAGAGGGGAAGAATTATTGCTCTCACCGAACAAAGAATGCTCCAAATAGAGACGTAGCAGAGATAGTAGGCGTTACCCAGGGTGTTGTATCGAAAACATATGCAAGGCACTTGGAATTAGGAGCACACAAGGATAGGCCCAGACAAAGTCGTCAAAGAGTAAGAGCTAAACAACAAGATCGCCTTGTGTCCCAAATTGCTAGAATAAATCTCAATGTTTCTCATCTAGAGCTACAAAGACAACTTCTGGCAGCTACCGGTGTGAACGTTTCAGTTGAAATTATAAGAAAAAGGCTTTGTGTTCGAGGGTTTTACAGTAGGAGAGAGTTACGGATCCCACAGTTATCTCGGCAAAATAAAATTGACTTGCTAAATTGATACCTTCAACATCAAAACTGGACAACTGAGATTGGCAAAATGTTCTTTTTTCGGATGAGACCAGAATTAGCTTAAGATCAGATAACCATCGAATTCGGGTTCTCAGAGCTCCAGGAAGATATGCGAGACTTCAGGCTGCCAAATCTCTACCAAGATATAAAGGAACTGTAATGTTCTGGGAAGTTATTATACTGGGAGCAAAAACTCCATTGTTACCACTTTAACAAACTTTAACGGGTCGGAGATATATTGATTTGGTACTAGAAGCAATCGTTAGTCTTTGGAGAGCTGCAGTTGGGGATAATTTTAACTTCTTGTACGATAGTGCACCTCCCCATACCAGCAGAATGACTAGAGTATGTCTTGAAACGGAAGGTGTCATAGTTTTGGACTGGCCTGCATGTTTACCAGATCTAAACCCTATCGAACACTTGTGGAACTAGCTCAAAACTTGCTTGTCGAAACAATCCAGGAAATCTTGCACAGTTTATTGATGCAGCATTAACAGAATGGGAAATCATACCCCAAGACAACGTTGATAATATAATAAGAAGCATGCCAGCGCAGATAGAAGCTTGCATAAGGGCTAGATGTGGCAACAAGGAATATTAAAATTATCAATTTTCTTTTTGTTTTTGCCCATTTTTGCTTTTTGGCCATTCAAAATTTAAATCTTAATTTCGTCACAACCAAAAAAATACCACTTTGTTTATTTTGTGAAATAATTATTTTTTTTATTGCTATATGGATTATTTTTTATTAAAAGTCGTTGGTAAGGACTGAGTTTTATTCATAAATGCAAAATTTTCATATGTCTCAAAAATTATGTAAAATAATAGATGATTCCATATAAGTTTGGTTGTGTATAAGATATTTCAAAACTATTTGATTAATGTCTAAATTAAATTTTTTATAATTGAAGTTGGGGGTGGAACGCTTGGTGTTACAGCAGCAAAATAAAACACTAATTTGCCACAATGCAATACCCCAAAATACAGTTTAAAAGTATAGTGTTTTGGTGTATTGTGGTGAATTGGTGATATATTTTGCTTTTTTTGATAATATTAAATAATTAAAAATTGCATCTTTTGTGAATTTTGCAAATATCTGAAGTCTGTCCAGCAAAAGGGTATATAAATAGTGACAGCTCTCATCTGTCATTTTAGTAGTTAATAGGTAAATTTAATCTTCTACCATTTTTGTATTTTGTCTGTCAACATAACTCATTGGGCAAACTTTAGGTAATTATTATTATTTAGCTGACTTACATAGAACATCAAACTGAGGTGTCCACTTGCTGGTCATTACGTTCTGCGCTTTCCCTGTCATCGTTTCATTTTCCCATTTCCACAAAACCCGATGAGGTAGCTCGGAAAATACTTTATTAAATGCTTCCAACTGTTCCGAGGGAAATGTGTATCCTTTCAGCAACGATCCCAGGCTAAAATAAATAAGACCCGCCTCTGATCTGTTTATCCATTCTTCTATTTCCTGCAAAATTGCACGGATTTGTTTAAATATGGTGTAGACAATAATATTTTAATCAATTAAAAATGTTACGTTGTACCTCTATTGTCGTTATTTCACAGTATATTAACATTTTTCAAGTAAGCTATAGGCTTGGTGCATTTCAGTTGATTTCAACAAATTCCGACCGCAGCGCACTCCACGGCAGAAATCAGAAAATATCAATATACAGTTCACGCCGCCGCGCCGCGCCGTCATGCCGATCGCATTAAAATAATATTGAAATCGGGGTTTTGTCATAATTTTTAAGTATTTTAGTTTTTTGCTAGTGCAGTTATCGAGACTATGAAACACTCAGATACGAAGTTTGCGTGATGTAACGCTGTTTCGGGTAGTAAAAAAGTGAAAAAAAAATCGAACTAGGCGTCTTATTGTGTTGTGACAATTTCAAATGTTAATAAAATTGCCTAAAAAAATGTTAACGCGTAAAGGAGAGCGTAATTAGGGCATTGTTGGGTGCAATAACATTCAATAACTCAACTTTCCCGGATATTCAACTCTCCCGAAAGAACATTTTAGCTTCATAATTTCGTACACCGATTTGATCAATAGCAAAAATGGATTCAAGCAGTTCGGCGAAACAGAAGTGTCTAGCCCTAGCAGTCAACTATTAAGCTTGACCAATCAGGTTGGTTAGCGTGGTTATGTGGAGTGTGTTAATTCATTTGTGTTTGTCAAAAACTCTAACGTGATTGGTCGGGAAAGTGCTCGTTACATAATCAAAAAATTAAATAGACATATTATACTATGAAAGTATGAAATATAAGTTGCAATATTAATGGGATATTTTTTTAATCAACTAGTGATTAGATGTTTTATAAACATCTTCTAAAATTTTATGTAATTATGTACCTTTAAAAAATTTTGTTATAGCCTAAATAACTCCAATTATGCCCCACTAGCAAAACCGGTGATAAAACTATGCTCGCTACCATAGTTGAACTCATCTAATTTTTTTTAACTGGAATAATAAATTATAATGCATGTTGCATGTTAGACCTTCAGAAGATATGAAAATATTTACCTTTAAATTTTTTTGTTTAGAATTTCCACAAATTACGCTTTCTAACACTTTTAGAATAATTATATTAATTTTTTCGTTTACTCTATGTACTCTCTTTTTCGTCTACTATGTACGTGTTTGTTATTTACGAGTTCTCCGGCGGTGGCAGCACCGGCGGAGAATGTACCAAGCCTATTGAGATGAATAAAAAAACAAACTCTCAAGGAAAGGTACACCGATTAACAAAATGGCAACTTTTTTTTTTTTTATAATTTAGCTACAAATTGCTTAAAAATCATCAAAATCGGTCCTCTAGAACACGATATATGTTATATATTATATATGTTCCCAAGTCCCAATCAGGTATCGAGGTACTTGGTTAGGAGTCCTTGTATGATAATTTCACGACTAAGATGTAATTTCATCGTTACAGAAATTAAGAAACTTCAACACGTATAAAAATTGTGTAACTTGGGATATTTACTTTTAGTATCTACTTCATAGATACCAATTTTAATAATTAGTCATTTAAATCAAGTAACGTTTGATATAACAATTTTCTTTCGAGTGCATGTGTAAAATTTTTGAAAATAATAACTGATACTTACAGCTGGTAACCGATTTATTTTTCTTGATGACACGTGAATGCCTCCAACTTCTACGATGCTCGGAGGAAGCGGTCTTACACCATGAAGTGTATGATGGGTGTTGAGTAAATATAAACTGGCATTGTAAGGATCTGCGGGTTCATATCCGGTATATTGTTTGGAAAGATTTGTTCCCGGTTTTTCCATGAATATCTTGTACCATGCCTTATGAGCTTTTTTTGAAAGGAAATACGAATTAGGCTAAGTCTGCGATTATAGTGGAGCGGCTAGGATAGAGGATAGCGGAGAGGTGAGCGGCGCGGTTCGTCCTCTTTTAATCAAACCGATATATTCAGATGCAGGTGCGTATAGTGAAAGCGGCAAGGCGAGAGTAGAGGAAAGCGGTGCACATAGCGGTGCTAAGAGAAACAAAAATGTTTGTTTTTAATAGCGTCGAGGATCGGGGCCAGGAGGGATCGTCAATATTGGTATAAGTTCGTAGCCACCTGAGGTATAGAAAGACCTTCCACACTTACAGGATCTTTAATGAAATTATTCCAACATGGCTGAATTTTGGAGGAAACCATTTCTAAAATGTGATCAAAGCTTTCAATGAATATTCTAAAGTACTGTCTGAACTTTTCCTCATATAGTCTCAATTTAAAATAAAAACGACTAAACTCTCCGTTTTCTCTTCGATCTCTATTAGCGGGATGAAGAGACCATCTCCTAATTCTTCTTTGCTGGGAATAATTATGCACGATACAAAATTTAGCAGCCGTATTTTCGGTAAGTAAGAGGTTTCGCTTTCGATTACTTTATCGGACCATTGTCGAATTGCTACTGGATAATATGTCGCACAATTTTTGCTCTATCCTCTCCGCTTTTAAGTTTTGCGTCGCTTTTCTCGCCGTTTACCGCGCCGCTATCCTCTTTCCTCGTCGCTACCCTCTTTCTTCGCCGTTCTACTATAATCTCAGCCTACTAAAAACATAGTGGACCGACGAGGATAGCGGCGAGCAAGCAGCGCGATACCGCGTCGAGCAAGCCTTGAGGTGCTGAAACATAGCAGAGCGGCGAGGAATAGCGAGATACTTGTGCAAATTTATTATTTTCATTTGCTTATTGATAATTTAAAATGTTAACAGTGGCTAAAATTCTGGGCAGTAATGTCGCAAATATTTGGTTAGATGAAGTTTTCAAAAACCCGAGAAAGTATTGCAAGTTACTACAACCTTTACGAAAATTTGTTGCCACTTCATCTCATAACTTATCTAAAATGAACCGGTTATGGTGATTACTACCTTTCTGATCCCATAAAATCTCTCTTACAAATACTAAATCCATTAATTTTTGAGAATCTATCATTTTCGACATTTCGATATTTCATTGCGCGACAGACAAAAAATAACAATTAATTTATAGTCTTTCTTTTTAAAATATATTTTGACATTTTTTCAAAAGCGACGACTCCAAAATTTTTTCAACTTTTGTTTAACATTTTTTTAACCCGATTAAGTACGTTATTTACCTAAGTAAACTAGCGTATTTTCGACTCTTTGCAGGAACGTCATTGGAACAGCATGAGCCATGTACAAAGAAGGAATGTACGATGGATTATCTGGAGCGCCGAACCACTGGGCATGCCACTGCATCATTGAACAAGAACTTAACCCTAGAAATGTGTACCTAATTAATATAATTTAGCTTTTTACTACGAAATAATATGTATATTACCTATAAAAGGAGCCCTGAATTTATTTATTAGACCGTAAAGACAATTAGAGTTAAAGAATTCTACCAGAATCACATCGAACTGGTTATCTTCTCTAAGAAAATTTTGAAAAGATTGACTTTGTAAACTGGGTTCGCAAGTATGTTTTGCAAAATATGCAATTAGATGAGCTTCAGCGTACTTCTGAAGCCGGTTTCCAGGAAAATCTTTGATGTCCAAGACGTGTTGTAATGCCTTATTCGACAATAACACGTCTTTACCATTTTTTATATCACCTAGAAAAAAATTTTGTTTTTTTTTAACTTCAGTTTTCTTCATAATCATTGTACGGTAAAAGAAGATATTTTATTCTTAAATAGTATTATATCTTTTTGGTTAGAGAGTTACATACTTTATTAATTAGTGCTCAAATTTAATTACAATTATATAAAAAATTTCGTTAGAGCCCAGATAACCCCAGTTATATCCCTACTGGCAAAACCCTACCGTAGTCGAACTAATCTAAAAAAAATACTAGTTTGAATAACAGATTATAAGTTAGACCTTCTGAAGATATCAAAATATAATTACTTTTTTATTTTTTTGTTTAGAATTTTTCAACAGAAAATGTTTTATCATAATTTTTTCCCAGAAAAAATATGATTAATTTAAAAAAATAAAGATTTCCCAGATTTATTATTTCAGTCAAATAACAATTTATTCAACACACGTGTTTTTTAATTTTATTGTCAATAATGACATGTATTGACTACTTTCATTCTAAATATCTTGAGGGCGGTTGCTCGTAGCGATTTTTACCAAGAGACATTTTACGTAAAATGTCACGGAGATGTATATTTTCTTACACAGTAGTTTTATAGAGGTACACATGAAAAGTTACTACTCTTCAAAACAGTTAAAAAACATGTAGCCCCCTACAAATAGGAGTCATATTGACATTATATCCCAAATTTCTCATGTCAAAAAACTTCCAGACACCAATTTTCTTCCAAATATTGACGTTACTTACGTTAAATTATTTGGAAAAAAATCGAAATAAAAATGAAACTTCTACACTTTGTATCTCGGAAACTAAGCATTTTAGAATATACATTGATACGAACTTCTTTACTTATATTTATCTGCAGAATATGCTGCCGAAGTTTCCGCAATATAGTTCGGACCACCTTGTATACCTGGTGTCCCACTAAGAATAGCTCTCGGCTGTATCTCGGAAAGATTTAGTCGTAGGGTTTACGGAAAAAAATATTTATGACTAAAGGGGCTATGAGAAATTGCTGGAAATTATTTTCAAGTTTGTAAAACGGCCGCTAGGTGGCGCAACTGCTAGAGAAAATAAGAAAATAGATTTTTTACAGAATTTTGCCTAGATAATGGGTACTATAAATAATAGCTTCATAATCTTCAGTAAATTTTGTATTTTTTTTGGTTAGAACCATATCTGCTAACATAAAGTGGTGGGGGAAGGTTAGATCCATCTTTATTTAAATGTTAATAACTCCGGACTGGATGATCAGAATCCAACAAACGAAAGCTCGTTTAAAAGAGCGTTTCTTACTCTATATTATACCATAAAAATAATAATAATGAGGTTTTGAACGTAGACGCTAGGGGGCGCTTTCTTACAATTTAACAAACATAGCGTTTTTTCAATAAAATTAAATACGATGGTATATGCTATTTTAGCTGGTAGTAAAGAGGAGTAAAAGCTTAAAAAGTCAGCAAAAACCGCATCTTGATATCTTCTTTCAAACCGAAGATATTAGCAAAATTATAATCAATACCAAAAAATAAGCCCTTAATTACCTTATTTTTACAATAGAGTATCAGTAGCCCTCTTGATTAGGCCCATTCTAACAAAAAAATAAAATAGAAACAGTTAGTTTATTTTAAAATCGACGAAATACCAGAATACCATAATACCAGATGTATTCTTCTTCTTCTTCCTGTGCCTTGTGCTTAGCCGCACGTTGGCGATTGTCTGTACTCTTCATACAATGTGTAGACTGCCGTTTTCGACTCTTCGAAATATGGTGGCTGCGTCGCTGATGTTACACCAATCCCGTATGTTTCTTAACCAGGAATGTTGTTTTCTTCCTGGGCCTCACCGTCGCTCTATTTTTCCTTGTAGAATCAGCTTAGGAATGTAATATTTGTCTCCTCTAAGGATATGGCCGAGGTATGAGACTTTCTTTTCTTTAACTATGTTAAGCATTTCTCGTTCATAGCCTCATAGCCAGATGTATTAATATATAATAATTAAGATATTAATAATAGTGAACAAGAAACGATGATGAACGATGAAGTTATGGTAGGCTTTGAAAAAAACTTGCTTTTGACGTAATAGTATAAACGTCAAATTCTTATTAGATCAACATTTTGATAGTCTTAGCAGCGTCTTCTTATCTTTTAAATGCTTTTTCAAAATGCCTTTATTATTAGAAGTAGAGTTGAAGTTGTTGGCATTTTGAAAAAGCAACCAAAAGATAAAAAACGCTGCTGAGACTATCAAAATGTTGATCTAATAACAATTTGACGTTTATACTATTACGTCAAAAGCAACTTTTTTCCAAAGCCTGCCATGACTTCACTGATCATCGTTTCTTGTTCACTATTATTAATATCTTAATTATTAGATATTAATACATCTGATATGATATTCTGGTATATCGTCGATTTTAAAATAAACTAACTGTTTCTATCTTATTTTTAGGTTAGAATGGGCATAATCAAGAGGGCTACTGATACCGTGTTGTAAAAATAAGGTAATTTAGGGCTTATTTTTTGGTATTTATTATAATTTTGCTAATATCTTCGGTACCTAATATCTTCGGTATATCTTCGAAAAAAGATATCAAGATGCGGTTTTCGCTGACTTTTTAAGGTTTTTTTAGTACTCTTTACTCTCAGCTAAATTTACATATACTATTGCATTTAATTTTTTTGAAAAAACGTGCAATGTTTGTTAAATTGTAAGACAACGCTCCCTAGCGTCTACGTTCAAAAGATATTATTATTGTTTATATGGTACAATATAGACGCAATTTACATATTGAATGACGCTTTATTTAGAACAATACGCTCTTTTAAACAAGCCCTCGCTTGTTGGATTCTGATCATCCAGTCCAGAGTTATTAATATTCAAATAAAAGCAGATCTAACCTTCCCCCACCACTTTATTTGGTAGATAGGGGAAAATCAGTCTAACAAAAAATATTCAAAATTTACTGAAGATTATGAAGCTGTTACTTATAGTACACCTTATTTAGGCAAAATTGTGTAAAAACCCCATTTTCTTATTTTTTGGTGCAGTTGCTTGAAAATAATTTCCAGCAATTTCCCATAGCCTCTTTAGTTATAAATATTTTTTCCCCAGCCGCTACGGCTAATACTTTCCGAGATACAGCAGAGAGCTATTCTTAGTGGGACACCCTGTACAGAATGTGATTTAAAATTCGTTTAATATATGTATTATTTAATTTATCAATAATAGCTAACGCTGCCTCCATTTTATATTAGAATAAAAAATTATTTTCGACGTGAAATGATATTCGCATATCTGACATAAAGGTAATTAGTGTTACGTTTTTGAATAGTAAAATTCAAACCCAATTGCGAAATTTTTCGGATGCCCTACAGTATAAAGCTTTTAATAAACTGATTTTTAAAATCAATTTTTAAAAAGTTTAACTTTCCTATGAATATTAATTAGTGTTTTATTCAAAAATCATATTAAACTGTTCCGATTTAAGCATACATCAATAACTACATTTCAAAATTTATCATTTTATTCCTATTTTTTTTTCTAGTCCTGGTCTTTTTCACTTGCAGCCTAAATAGTAGGTTTATCTGTAAAATAGGTATATTACCTACTTTATGTATTTAAATAATAAAATTATTCTGCAAATAGATTCTTTTTTAACATTTTAAAAAACACACATTACTAACACATTAATTAGCTGCAGGAAACACAAGAACAACTAACAACAAATAATAACGAGAAGCACCATAAAGCGTGGATGACTCAAGAAATTTTAGACCTCATGGAAAAGCGGCGAAGTTTTAAAGGCACAGATCCTCAGAGATATAGAGACACTCACAGGCTTATCAGAAATAAAATCAAAGAAGCCAAAGAACTGTGGATGACGGAGAGATGCCGCGAAGTCGAGGAGCTCCACCAAAAACATGACTTGTTTAACCTACATAAAAAAGTCAAAGAAGTCACTGGGAAACACAAACCTCGAACATGTACCAGAATCGTGGACGGTGAGAATAAACCAATCCTAACCGAACAAAAACTAGAGGAGGTATGGACCAATTACATAAGGGAACTGTTCGATGACGGTGGCCCCTCTTTTCACTCCCAAATAGAAACGGAAAATGGTCCAGATATAATGATCTCAGAAATCGAGAGAGCTTTAAAGAACACCAAAAAGGGGAAAGCAGCTGGACCGGCAACATCTACCCAGAATTGATAAAACTAATAAACGGAGACAATTTAAAGTTATTGGTAAACCTCTTCAATTCTGTATACAATACCGGAAACATACCGCAGGACTGGCTAAGGTCGACATTTATACCTATTCCTAAAAAAACTGGTGCAAAAAGATGTGATGAGTTTCGTTTAATAAGTCTGATGAGTCAAGTCCTAAAGCTGTTTTTAAAGGTTCTGCATAATCGAATCCGAAGAAAATGTGAGCTAGACATAAGTGAACAGCAAATGGGATTTCGCGAGGGACTGGGGACGAGAGAAGCCCTGTTTGCGCTATCGGTGCTTTTGCAGAAGTGCAGAGATCAACGAAAGGAGGTACACCTATGCTTCATAGACTACACGAAGGCATTCGACTGCGTCAACCACAGGGAATTGCTGAGCATCCTTGAAAGAAGAGGCCTGGATACCCAAGACCTGAAAATTATCCAAAAGCTATACGAACAACAAGTAGCGACAGTAAAACTACAGGACACTGAAACAACAGCAATACCTATCAAGCGTGGAGTTAGGCAAGGATGCGTATTGAGCCCTATGCTCTTCAATATGTACTCCGAACTAATATTTCGAAATGCGCTTGAGGGATCAGAAGACGGCATAAAAGTGAATGGCAGGCTGATTAACAACATGAGATATGCTGATGATACCGTCGTTATTGCAGACACCACTGAGGGCCTGCAAAGACTTCTTGATAGACTGTCCTCGGTGGGCGACTCAATGGGTCTCAGGATAAATACAAACAAAACAAAAGTCATGGTGATAAATAGAGATGCAAGACAGGCAACG